CTCAAACTTTGTGATCTTGCTGGGCTCCAATTTATCAAGATACCCTCTTACACCAGCATAAATAACAGCCACTTGTTCTTCAATGGCCATGGGAGCTGAAAACAAAAGAATGCCAAGTAAGTTGCTCAAATAAATAAATGCCACATCAACAAAGTCAGAGAAACTTACCTTTTTCTTCTAATTATTAACATGTCTCTACATATCACCTACTCTACATAACACCCTCACACTTTCTCTGTGACAAACTCCACATTAATACTTTTTCCCACTTCTCTCCCTAGGCAACAGTTTTTTCCTTGTATTTGCAAGCCTTAAAGTGTAATCTTTGGGCATATTCCACAAGCACTGTTTATCATCTGGCACCATTTATACTATTTGAGATATAAATAATCTGCTGAAACTTCACAGCAAGATTAAAAAATGCTAACATACTTTTAAATCTGCCCAATTCCATTCTCTCACAGCCAAGGAGGAAGGGGGGGGAGGAAGAGATCTAATAGGTTTACTTCTCAAAAGGGAAATCTTAAGTATATTTAGTAAGTTTTCCTGGTTATTCAAATGACGACAGACTGTATTGAAAGTACAACAGGCATTAATCACATTCAAAACACGGTACCCTTAATGAAAGAACACGACGTATGATAGCTTGTAAGGAGCTGCGGGATACTCCCAGGCGCTTACACACAGTACACACATGGCTGACATGAAAGAACTCACAATACTGTCCTTGCTTCAGCAGCTCAGTCAGTCGCACGCCACGACTCAAGAGTTGCTGAGTGGCAGCATCGAGGTCAGAACCGAACTGGGCAAAAGCAGCAACCTCGCGATACTGAGCCAATTCCAGCTTCATGGTCCCTGCCACCTGAAAAACAGAAATGGTCAACTCATGAAACACAAAACTACTCAACCCACTCACAAAGAGCACTATACAAATACATTATGATTTTAGCCTAATGATACCTCTTCTCCTTGACAAAGTGCTGCAAATTACCTGCTTCATGGCCCTGGTTTGGGCAGCAGATCCAACACGAGACACAGACAAACCAACGTTAATGGCAGGGCGGATACCTTTGTAGAACAATTCTGTTTCCAAGAAGATCTACAACATACAGAAAATACACGTGCTAACAAGCTTTAAAAAAAAAAAAAAAAAACTATTTTCAAAATTAAGCCAAAAACCTGAAGCCCAACATCTCCAAGGAAAAATGTTAAGTGTCTTCTCATCATAAAGAGCCCCTCCAATCTTTCCCAGCACATATCAACTTACATATTCTATTGCTACGATTAAGAGATGTGGGGAGAAAAAACAGGTGATAAATTTCTATTAAAATATATGCAGATTAAGTGATTTGGCCTCTGAGATTTGCTTCAAAATTATCTAGGGTGGAGAACAGTAGTGGCTATAAATGAAGCAAAAATGAAGTTTTTTGGTAACAAATTGAAATGGGTGAGAGATATGCAGGGTTCATTATACTGTTCTCCTTACTCTTCTAAACATTAAAGTGAAAGGCATTTAACAAATCAGTTCATCAACACTAGTTTCAACCAATGCCTTGGAATCATCCAAAGCTTTTACATTTATTTTAATCATAAAAAAATACCTGTCCATCAGTGATGGAAATGACATTTGTTGGAATGTAAGCAGACACATCACCAGCTTGTGTTTCTATGACTGGTAAAGCAGTCAAGGATCCACCACCAAAAGAATCGTTCATTTTGGCTGCTCTCTCTAGCAGACGGGAGTGTAGGTAGAACACATCACCAGGATAGGCCTCACGACCAGGGGGCCGACGGAGCAGCAGAGACATCTGACGATAAGCAACAGC